TCTCAGTTCAATTGATTAGAGATCTTTGGTGTCTCTTTCACATGAAGAGATTCTGGAAAGTGAATTAGAAATTTTTTTTTTTGGCAATGGAACAAATGCCATAACTAATGGTAAAAAAAAATTTCACTTTAATGGACAATTTTCATATAAAACAAAGTCAAACGAACACTGAACTTTGATTAAAAAAATGATTTTTTAGGAAATAATTTTTTTTTTTACTTTTTGGCAATGGAAACAAATTTTATAACCAATTGTGGAAAAAAATTTCACTTTAATGGACAATTTTCATATAAAATAAAGCCAAACGAATAGAAAATTTAAAAATTTTCCGGGTAGAAAATTAGCCCCCGTTTGGCACCCATTTTTTTCTCATTCTCATTCTCATTCTCATTTTTTTCTCTTTCTTCATTTTAACCACACATTTTATCAATAAAATAATATTACACATAAACCTAAAAATTCTCCTTACAATTCTCATTCTCATTTTTTTCTCTTTCTTCATTTCAACCACACATTCTATCAATAAAATAATATTACACATAAACCTAAAAATTCTCCTTACTTTTTAACCACACATTCTTCCATCAATCACTATTCAAAAACATATTCTTTCACAAAAATGGGTGTCAAACACCCCCTTATACCAATCAAACACATTTGAAATCATTTTCTCTGCAAAATATTTTCTAGGCAAATCTTTTCCCTGTAAAACATTTTCTTTCCATCCATTTTCCACTCTTGCAATCAAACGCACCGTAATAGATCGAAATTGTAAATTGAAAGTCTTTCTCACCATGCATCCTCAATCACAGTTTATATGTTTAGAATATTTTCACCTCTTTAGCGAGTTTATTGATTATTATGCTGCAATAACTCATATCTTGTGTACTAACCTTACATAAATTGGATGAATGGAATTATGGAGATTCCTTGTACCTGTTCTTTTGCCTTCCAGTTAAATTGCTGCATCTGGAATCCCTTTTTCTCAGTTCAATTGATTAGAGATCTTTGGTGTCTCTTTCATATGAAGAGATTCTGGAAAGTGAATTAACGATATTTCTTTGCTATATTTACCATCTATTATTTCTTTTAAGATGCTATCAATGTGACATTTGATGATTGATCACATCAGAGAAGAAATTGAGTTAACTAACAATTCTGAATGATTCTTTGGTGCAGGCGAAACCCGAGACAGTGGAGAAAGTTTGTGAAATTGTGAGAAAACAACTAGCACTCCCTGCTGATTCAGCCATTACTGGAGAGTCCAAGTTTGCATCACTTGGTGCTGATTCACTCGATACGGTATTAATCTTATTGTTAAATATGTTCCTTTGCTCGAATGTAATGTGTATTTATGGGGAAATAGTACCATTTGATAACAGTAGCATGTGACCTTGTGAAAACATGCCTTCATTTAAAATTTCAACAAGGAAGCAAAATCTAGCTTCATAAAGTTGGACATGGGAGGGTCACAAATGATAAATTGACAACGGTTTGGCCGGTTCCATTGTTGGGGACCATTGCGCAACTATAATTGAAGGTTGCAAACCATCTTGCTTCTTTTCAAAATTTGGAGACCGATAGTGCAATTTTTCCATATATATGCTTCTTATGACTATTATAACTTCATTGTCTTGGCTGTTTCTTAATGTGAGCGATCTTTATAATGGTTGGCTGATGTTGGGTTTGTCCTGATTTAGGTTGAGATTGTCATGGGACTTGAAGAGGAGTTCGGGATCTCCGTGGAAGAAGAAAGTGCTCAAAGTATCACCACTGTTCAAGAAGCAGCCGATATGATTGAGAAGCTCAACGAGAAGAAATAAGCTAAAGATTCCAAACCATAGGTTTGCTAGGAAAGTTCTTTAACTTATGAATCTTTGTTTCCTTTGTTCGGTTGCCTGATAATGCTATTATGGAGCGTCCCTCTGCTCTTCGTTTTGAGGAACCTTTCCTAGTTTTTCTCTATGATTTATTTCCTTGTAAGGAAATAGATTCTCTTGTCGTTACCTTCGTTTCTTTTTCCTGCTAGACCTGAATCAAGATATAGTACAAAGTTTCTCATTATCGAATGATATTGAGCCGAAGTTGAGATTTCTGGTGTATTTATGAATGAATTTTAGAACCGTGCTACATTCACAGATGTGTTCTACAGATACACACATGGGAGGGGCGGGAAAAATTTCGAATAATTTTTTAATCAAGTGAAATCGACCCTCTATACATCTGCATTAATCCTGAATTTTAATTTCGCTGCACAAGAACTATAGGCTATATCTCTACACAGTGGTGTAACCGGGTTCTAATGGTCCGGCTTGACCGTTTTAGAGTTGGTCCAACCTGGCATTGTTCTAAAACGGCCTGTCAGCCGTGGTGGGCACACGGGCTTTTACCATTTTCTTGCATAAGCTTCCTTTCCCTTGGACTGTACAGCTCCATCCAGTGCGGGGCGGCTAAGATATCGGCCGGCCCATGGTGGGTTGTGCCATGTCTGAGTCATGCTTTCAAATATGGGGGCACCCAGAATGAAGTCAATTAGATAACTGTAGATTAAAACTAAGCCAATGTTTGGTTTAGATAAAAAATCAGATTTTCAAAAGATTTTGACAAAAATTGACGTGACGTGCGGTTGAAAAATTGTGGACTCCATGAAATTTGTAGTTAAAATTAATTGTTAACTTTGATTTAAATTTTAATCTACGTTTGTAGTTGAACCAAACAGGGGCTAAAACTGCAATAATAATGTTGGGTTCAAAAGAGTTGTAAATCATAATCATTTTGGATCTCATCTTTTAAGGTCTTTGGTTCTTTTGACATTCTTTATGCTGACTCACTTTATTTCTCCATCTGTGAGGATAATACATGTATGTTTGGGCAACCTTAAAAAATTTACATATAAGTTAATAAGTAGGATGAAAATAGATTTTTTTTTTTTTTTTAGATTTAAGTTTTTGAATACATAAATATAGATAAATGAATTCTTCTCGTCTCTAGTAACTTTAGATGACTAGTTTAACATGGTATTCAAACAGGGGCGGATTTTCCATGGGGCAGTGGGGTCACCTGCCCCCAACGATAAATTTGAAAAGTCAATATTTTGTCCACTTTTTTGTAAGATTTGCAAAAAAGTCCCTATAGTTTTTAATTTTTGTCCCCACAATTAAAATTTTATATAATTTGCTCCTACAAATCTGATCTTCTATCTTCATCTCTGTATTCAAATGGATAAAAGTTGTAAGTTCAAGCCTCACAGAAAATTAATGCATCAAGCTCACTCATATATACCATATGTATATTGTTGATCCCAAAAAATGAACTCAACAGATGTCGGGTTCACTCTCGTCATGTCAAATACGGCCCCAACACGTTTCTACCGAAATAAGAACGGTAGTTTGGATGAAATGAACGTGTGAGGCACTTTTTGGCGGAAGACAAAAATATTCGGGTTCCGACAATATGGTTCGAGGACAATCACGCTATCAATAATCACCTTTAAACAAGATGATAATACGAAATAGACATCATTTTTGCCATGATCTATGTGGAAGGATAGATATGATAAGTAGATGTGTTTCTCTCTCTTTTGTAAGATTTCTAGTGTTTGTATAAAAGTATGTTTTTATCCTTTTTTTTTTCTATCCCTCCCCCTTGTTTATACAAATTGAAGTTATTTATACAAGCTTTTTCCCGACGTGGTGATTGTTGGATCAGAATCACGTGGCAACATCCTCCACGCCGAAGCTTCACATCACTGTTCTATCTATGCAATCAATGTTTTACAATTAATGTTCTGTAGAGGACGGACCGTTCTATTTTTAAGCTGACACACTGACATCCGGCGCACTTTATTACAAATGTCACATCAATCATTCCTAAGAGATCTTCAAATCCATTACATGGTGCAGCATCGGACTGGAGAGCCTCGGACGAATTAAGAGGGCCACGGTTGGTTATCGTGCCTCGTCTTTGCAGAGGTGTTTCAGGGTGGACCTTATTGCAGTGTGAGGGGTTCGGATACTGGATGAAGGACCTGGCCAGTTGCCTCATTGAACTATCTGACTGGTTGAACCTCCTTTTGACTTTCCGTTGATAGTTGCTTCTTTAGACCTCGGAATCGAGGGGTAACATATATAACATTTCACAATCCAAAAGAGCAGAAGATCCAATATGAAATGTACACTTCAAAAAGACATTTGGTTTGTAACGATCATACTTTTAAGGAAATGTGTGCCTATAATTACGTTACATGTCGGATTTCAATATGGTATCAAAATTGTCACTCAATTATATATACGTGAAATAACACATCTCGGCCTACAATCTTCACTCATAGCCACCAATTATTATTTTAAATCCCACAACCCAAAAGGACAAAAAATAAATAAAAAGAAATAATGGAACCATGACAAAAGAGCTGTAAAGCAAACTCTTTATTGAATGACCTTTCCATGTGCCAAACCTTAGAAAATACTTCCAATTAATTATTATTAGCTAAGTCAAGACAAATGCACTGGAAAGGATTATGCTTTTTGGCCTTTTCACTTTAATAATTACAGCTAAGAATGTACACACTTGTTAATAATTGCCTACTTTTTTCAACATACTAGGCATCTTTGTGTAGAAAACTCTTCACTTTATAGCTTATTTTATGCAATATTGACTAAGCTTTCTTCGAGCTGTGTTTCCTAGTATAACATTGTCGTTCAAGGTGCTCCAAATAGTATCCAGATCTACTGTCATTGTCCGATGCAATTATAATTTTATTTTATGAATTACTCTAAAGAGAGACTATTGACTAGACTTCCTTCGAGGCATTTAATACAATTATGGAAAGTAAAACGTGAGAAGCGGTTGATTAATACATGTATCTTTCATGTGGTTGCAAGAAATTTGATTTTACTAGTGAAAGCAACGATGCATTAAATGGAATAGAGGAGGATTGATGTACACAAAGTGCTACATAAAAGAATGGAAAGTAAACATAAATTCTCCCAAAAGCTACCTCAGATCACCAAAAACAGAACCAACGAATAAGCCAAGAACCCAACAAAAGTTCCACGTAGTAATTCTTTTACTGGATTTCTCGACCCTGTCGAAGAAGACCCAAATGGTGCAACCATGGTATCCAAGCCACAAGGACTGTTATATCAGGATCCCGAGGACTAGGATTGGAGAGAATAGTTGGCAATAATGATCTAGCTCAGATCACAAAAACCAGAACTAACCAATAAGCCAAGAAACCAATAAAATTTCCAAGTTTCAACCCAGTTACTATTAATCTCGACTCTGTCAAGGAAGTCTGCAACGACCCTGATGGCGCGAAGGCAGCATCCGGGCCAACAGGGCCCATCATATCAGGATTCTGTGTAGAATCAGAGGGGATGGTTGGTAATGATGATCCAGTGGGAGGAGGCACCACCCCACCAGTAGAAGGCAAAAGAGGAGAAACGTCTGGAGAGAGTGGAGGATTTGGCTGCAATTCAGGTGGAGAAGAAACGGAAGAGGACTCTGATATCATCCTACCAGACGGTAAAGAATGTAAAGAAGAAACCATCAAAGCCATTATGATTGCTACAAGATGGAAAGAGGCCATTGAAATGATGATGAAATCAATAGCAATTCTTGCAGAGTGAAATGAATGTCAGAAGAAAAGGTTTAAAGAGTGAGTTATGGGTGTGTCAGATGAATGGTTTATGATTGAAGCAAGGAAAAGGGAAATGATTAAGTATCAATATGGGGTATAGTGCCACCAAGGATTTTGTTATATTATTGGAGAGCGATGAAATATATAAGGGATTGCTAGTGGTTGGCATGTGTAGGGAGGAGAATGTTTGTTTGCTAGTGGAAATTGTTTTCAAATTCATACTTAACGAGGTGCGAAGGAGCTGCCTAGGTCGAAAGCAGTACGATAGTGGCAGACTTGACCCATTTCAAGCTCTTCATCGAGGACTAACTATAATGAAAATTTTGACTTCCTTTTTAGAGGTTGAGAATCTACTCATTACTAAGGCAATAAGATGACGATGAACGTTGGAATTTTCCCAATTAATATCAACAGTGCACGTGCATTCAAATTAGTACAAGTAAAGTGTGTAGAGTTACCTGCCGCTAATTACGGGGTTGACAGAAGGCTTTTAATATTCAATTATCACTTGAAAGTTGAAGAGAAAGTCTCTTTACTGAAAGGCGAAAAGACAAAATTGTCAGAAAAAATTGCTGAAAGAGCAATATTTTTTCCTTTTTCGTATTCTTTCCCTGCCTACCTTTAAGAAATTATAAAGCAGTGTTTGGCGGTAGCAAACTTTGGGAAATAAACATTCATAACAAAATATTTGCTTTTATTATTTACTTAACAGTAAATTAAATAAAATCATGTCATATAGCATGGCTAGGGGAGTAAAGTAGAGTCAGCTAGCACAAGTTGTTTCATGCCATGCAATGACAATCTCGTACAGTAAGGTCCAACTTACTATGCACCTCGAAAGATGTCGTGATTGGCCACCGACCACGAAAGGTGGGATCCATCTTCCAACGGAAAACCATCATGTGCCCCAACCTTAAAAGAATCTTTAAGCATATATCACATCTTATAGACGTTTGTTGAAGAATAATGTGAAAATGTGAAATCTTGGATTCAATTGAAACCAGATGAGTTCAAGGGAGACGATGAAAAACAGGAAAACAAAATTTTAGACAAATATTGTTGAAAACTATCTTCACGATCCATACTCAAACCGCAAAGGCAGCCAAGCTAGTAAATAAAAATATTCTAGGCAGAATGGACTTACAAGATTGAAACTTAAGTAAAAGGAGCGTCCAATTGAAATAATGGGATGATACATGCGTACATAGATAATACAAAGGAAGGACGGCTGGACATCTTCCTTCCCTTACCACTTCTCTTCGTTCCATAGAAGCAGCCACTGTGTACCATCACGGAAGTAGAACTAAATTCACCCCGGGGGTAATCAGATTAATTGTTATAGGTGATAACCTTCAGTTCCTGCAGAGCAAAGGCAACCAACGTTATCATCAATGCGAAGGACGGAAATGTATAAAGCAAGCGAGGCAGAAGAATATATGTGAATGAAACCAACCTCCGGAACTGAAAGCTACCGAGGCACCCTCTGCAACTCCAATGCCACGCGGGAAGCAGTGTTAGCAATACTCTGATTGCTAGAGCTTTTGAGGTCCAAAACAATTGCTTCGATTTTTAATATCTCCGATGTAGAGATAGATAATATCATTGCATGTAACAAATACAGTTGAGAAGAATAACCAAGAGCGTGCATAATTCGCTCTACCACTAGGTGAGAGATACCCTGAAGCATAGCCTCAAAGAATGCTGTGACCTTTGAAATATTCATTAGAAAATTCATAGTAGCTTCTCTCGGGGCTGCTTTGAACAACAAAATCAAGCATTCAGAAGCCAAGTCTGCAATGCTTGCTTCTTTGGATTTACTCAGTTCCACCAACACTCCAACAGTGCCACCAAAGTCCATTATATCTTTTATGCCTTGCTGCTGTTCAGTAGTGCTTTCACTAGAACCATCGTATAAAAGAGTAGGTTCCTTTGAATAAACAAAGCCTTTCCTACAGCCTAGAGAGCGCAAAAGGAATGCCCTACACACACCAAGGGTTGGTTCGACAAAATCCTCCATCTCCTTTGCATGTACAAATTCCAAAAGATTTCCAATCTTTCTCACGACCTTTAATTGGGATAGTATCTTGGTTTCAAGTTCGGGGGCAGACGCCAGAGCCAGACAGAGCATGATATTGCTTACATTTGCAGATGAAAAATCACCAAGCAGAAACTCAAAGCAACGTGAGACTGCTTTCATATGAAGAATGTCTGAAATTTTTATGTAATTGGACTCGATGAGCATAACAAGAAGTTTCTGAGCATACATAGGAATGGGGTCTTCATCCTCAATCAAAGTTGGATAGAGAGGGAGGAAATAAGAATTAGACACAGTCTTCAAGTCCTCGAGCCTTTGGTCATTCTCCGGTGCTTCATTTAGGAAAATGACCATCACATCAAAGAAAATCTTCAAGCACAAAAATCTGGCATCTCCATCTTTGTTTCCTTTGTATAGGACTGCCAGACTGAGAAGAATCTGACGGATGAATAAGTTGGGGTTGTCATTTACTGCAGTGGGCTCCTCAGTAGCTGACTCGAGAACACGCAGAAGAGTTATCTGGAAGTCATCCCTACCCTGCAATTGAATAATAAGATGTACATGATTATCCACTACAGCTTTCTTGTCATATTACAAACTATTCTGTTACCGTAATTGAACTGTGTAAAGAAAGCGAAGAATTCTGATGCTAGCATGCTCAAATTCTATCCGTGGAGCAAATGAGTCTAAAAGCATGCGTAGATATGTAAAATTCTTTTACAACTAAAATCTATAATGAGTAGAAAAAACTGAAAACTTTACCATAAGATATATTATTAGATAATGCAGGGAGTCAACAATGTCAAAATAATCTCATTAAATATAACTCAATAAGCTATATTAAATGCTTTGGGAAGGAAATTATATAAACGCATTAGAAAGGAAGCAAATGCTAAAAGCACATTTGAGAAAACAATAATGGAAGATATCCAAGAAATATCACAAGATTCCCTTTCTTCTATTTATCTTCACGTGAATGAAGATTCCCTTTCTCTACATGGATGTAACTAGAGAATTTTTCTAGTATTAAATAAATACTACATATGTTTCCACTATTAATGAAGCATGTTACGGTATATTGATTCTAGAGGCACCAAGTCTAGAAATTTAACTTTTGAAAAAATGAGACGCATCAGGTTGCAAGTATCTACCTGAAAAGGTGATTCCGCCAGTTTAAGTAGATTTGCTAAATGTTGTACTACCTGCTGAGTTATTACCAAATGCTTGAATGAAGAACTCCCCAGAAGGTGGAGAACAACAGGGAATAAATGAATATTGTTCTTTGGAGAAGTTCGACTCATGAGACCTACTATTTGTCCATGACGTCTCCCACCCATAAGTTGCTGAATATCTCCTGTTATAGCTTCCAGCAAACCCGGTAAAGTTGATGCCACAGCATGCACAAAGGCATCTAAACAATGGTGCACATAGTTGTCTTTTTCTTTAGCAAGCCTATCCACAGCTGATAGTAATCTTGCATTGCAAAAGAAATGTGGCAGCCATCTCTTCCCATTCTTACAAAGTAGAGCCACAAAAACAAGTGCCTTGCCCCTTAAGACTTCATTTCCCTGTTCGACAAGAGACACGAGATTTGGAACAAGAGTCTTATCTTCCATCAAGGGAAGAAGAAAACGTCCAATATTCGTCAGTATATGGCTTCCAAGCAATGCCAAGTTTAGAAGGTTCAAGCAAATTTGCTGCTCACGTTGATTTCCCTTGAAAAGGCTAGAAGCGATGTCTTTAAGCGAGAGTTTCTCTATAACTTGTTGAATACTAGGAAGGTTAAAACGAACAAGCCGTACCAAACAAGATCCTGCTATGAGCCTCATGCTTTCTTGTTTCCCTGGAGCCTTGAATAAATAGCAAAGGTTCCTAATCACATCCTGGCTTGTGAAACGGTTTGCCCAATGCCCTCCATGACTAGAGATATTTTCTATTGTTCTTAGTGCATAGAGTTGGGTTAAATCATCCTCTCCTTTCCGTAAAACAGATGAGACCAAAGAGATCAATGAATTTGGAACCTACCAAAATATTGAGAAAATAGCATTTGTTAAAAAAAAATCAAGATAAACGAGAGTGACAACCCATATTACTATCTACTCCTTATGACTAAATAATTAAGGTATGTCTATTGGAAAATTCGATCCACTGATAAGATCGAATCATAACACAATTGTTGACAATTTCCAGAAGTCATGGCAATGATAAGAGAAGCAAACCTGCCAGATAGAAGAGGGTCGGTTGTCCTTAGATGGAGATTCCTGAGGATTATTGTCCCTGTTCTCATCCAAAGTAGATATGTAAAAGAGCAACTCACCCAAAGCAGCCATAGAGAACCTTCTCACTTTCTCTTGTTTATCTCTGAGGCCATCAGTTAGTGCACCTAGAATTCCAGAATTCGCCAAATCGTTTCCAATGAATGTAGAATGACGAATCAACAAGCCGATAAGTGAAGAAAGTTGTACACGTAAAGCCAAAGCCTTAGACTGCCTGAGCAGTTTGACAAGAACCAGCATTACTGGACCATTTGTCAAAATATTGGCAGCATCTGTATTGCAGCTTAACATCTCAAGGTACCTGATCGTGTTTTGCTTCTCACAAATAGCAGTATTCCCATTTATGGTACTTATGATTCTAGAGTAAATAACATCCAACTGTTCCTTGGATACTTTCACAAAATCAGGCACAGGCAATGCATCAAATGGAAGGGAAGGAATGGCTTCTGATCCTTTATCAAACTTTCTGCTAGGCATTACAGGTCTGACAGCAAGATCAGATGGATGCCAGAGCACCTCTGAGAGATCTCCAGACGATTTTCTTGTATCAAAGTCTAGGGCACGCCCACAACCATCTTTAATTCTTGGAGTCTTGTGTTGAGGAGTGGCACTGGGTGGAGTGGGAGCAACTGGGCTTACTTCCATGTCTGAAGATGATTCCTCCTCTTGCGTTCTTGAGTCTTCAGAAGGTGTATCAACAACATTTGATGTGTCAGACTGGCTTATGCTGCCATCCGTCTCTTCATGTTGCCCCTCATGCTTGCTTGGAGTTGATAAACCATCCTCATGGGTACAGGCTGTGTTGTCTGACCCATCAGCTTCATCATGTACCTCGTCTTCATTATTCTCATTAAAATCAAGTTCCATATCATTGTTTTCCATTTTGACTTCTGCGTCATTCTTAGAGTTATTAGCCAGTGGCCTCCGGTAGTTCTCTTTCTCATTTTCTCTTTGCAGGTTTGATTTTGCAATTCTTGAAAGCCTCAGAAGATTGATACCCCCTGTACCATTTGAAGCACCCTTGTGCCTGTCGTCAAAATTTCTGACCGAAGGTTTCATTTGAGTTTTACGACCACTGGCAACACCCTTGATTGGTGATTCATGATCCCTCATCCTTAAAATTGAATTCTCATCTTGTCTGTGAGACCCTTTTGAATCTTTTCCACATGTTTTAGCTGCGGTATTGTTTCGAAGAGGCCTGTCAACATTGCGTTCTGTGAGATGTGATTCGGAAGAGAGCCCAATCATATTAGTAAATGCAGGCTGAGGAGGTAATGCTAGTGGAGCAAATTTTGATCTCCAAAAAGCATGGCTGCAAAGTTCACACCACTGTATCCTTTCAGCTGGATCTTTGATCAAAAGAGAATTTATCAAGTTAACAAAAGGAGAGCTTGTGGTGCCAGGAAGAACTGGAGTTGGATCTGAAAGGATTGATTTTGCCAGTTGAGTGAATTCCTTCCCAATAAATGGAGGTCTCCCAGTATAACACTCATATAGGACGCAGCCAAGCGCCCAGAAATCAGAAGCATAAGAATGGACCCCTCCATCCAGAAATAATTCGGGGGCCATGTAACATGGGGTTCCACGTTTTGCTTGTGGCAACTGAAAACACACACGAAAAGAGAGAAATGAAATGAGGATTTCAAGAAGAAAACGGGACAGGGTGATTTGGAAAGAAAATGACCTTTTGATTTTATGAAATTAATACATGAATAAACTCATAACTCATTTGGAGAGTTCACCTGGGAAGAAGGTGTTATGGATATATCACTCAGTTTTCTAGCTAATCCAAAGTCACATAGCTGCAATAGTGAACAGTAAGGGGAGGTAATCATAATGGCCATAGAATTGGCAATTAAAAAGGTGGCATAGTTTGTTATTCAATTATGACATAAATGAACCTGAAAATCGTGAGTAGAATACTTCCCTTCAAATGAAGAATCCCTCAATTCTTAATTTAAGAACGAAGTTAAAGTAAACGAATATATACCTTTGTATGTCCATTCTCATCCAGTAGAATGTTTGATGGTTTTAAGTCACCATAAATAATTCCTTTCGAATGTAAGTACCTGACCCGTGGAGGTTAATAGGGAAAAAAATATGAAAACACGAAAAACAGGAAATTTGAAGATCGAGGCAAATTGGTGTTTTCTTACTGCAGAGCTCTGACAATGCCACAAGCCAAATCATGTACGGAATCTTCTGGAAGCTTACCATCCTGCAGTACAGTAATTAAGCAATTTTTTAAAGCACAAGTACTCCAAAATTTTCTTGGGAAAGAAATTTGTATTGGTGAGAAAACATAGAGAAAAGATAAAAACCTAGAATCGGTAATATAATATAAATTCATAAATTAGATTAATCCATGTGCACCATGAACAATTTTAATGGTGAGAACAAACTGAATCCAAATACTTGCGAATTTTTGGGTATCAAGCTCAAGTGAAATATACTAAGCTCGAATTAAGTCTGAGTTCAGAGTATGAAGCTTGAGCTTGAGCTTGAGCTTAAGCTTGAACTTAATCTGCGGCTACTCAAACTCTAGCATAAGAATCTGAACACAATGCCCATGTATTATAAACGACTAATTATTTAAATATGGATTGGTATCCAATTAAGTAAAACAGTAAAAATGAAGTAAACTGGCCAGCATGCAAGCTTGCCATCTAGAAGCTTAAGCTTAGTTCAAGTGGGTACAAAGCCAACTCTAGCCATAAGCCTGACAAAGCCAGCTAGGCTTGCTTGCACCTTCACATACTTTTCATTCTTATATACTGTTAAAAGGACATTCCAGTTGTTATATATTTGAAAATCATAATGGAGAAAATTATATTAAAAAGAGAAAAAAATTGCCTTTTAATTTATGACAAGTTATCTCCGTGGGAAGAATAATCAGTGTCACAGGCTACAAAATCTTGATGTCAAAAAATCAAGCATCAGCAACTACGAAAAATAATCAATCACCTGTTGTAATAAAGTCAAGAGATCTCCTCCAACACAGTATTCCAAAACCAACCATAGGTGAGCTGATGTTTCATACCTGAAAATAATTTGAGAAAGAAAAAAATAGTGAGAAGAACATCCAACCAATGCGAGTGGTACCATCGAAAACCATATAGAATGTAGTAAGCATATTGGAAGCACATTTAGGATTTAGTCTAGTTCATGATAGAAGTTCTTTTGTATCAAAAAAGTGTCGAATATTACCACGAGTAGAACTTCAGCACATTAGGGTGATCCAGAGTGTGAAGAACCCTGACCTGTTATCAAGAAAAACCAAGCAGTTTTTATAAAGCACAGATCCACAGGAGAAAACATACACACACACATTTTACCAGTGAATCTTTGTCCTTATATGTGCCAAGGATCTTAACAGTGAATTACTAGCCCTTGTTTGGGCTCCATTTTAATGAGGTTTTAGGAAAAATATATTTTGAAATAGTGATTTTTTGGAGAATGCTTAGTTAAAAAAGAAGGAAAAGCTTTGAGTTTACATGTAAAGTTATTTTATTCAAGAATGTGTGGTTGAAAAGAAGAAAAATAAAAATGCATTAAAATGGAGACCAAACAGGGGCTATATTATGATGAGTAGAGAGATCATATTTCCAACTTCCAACACACTTGCTTGCATTATCTTCTTTGATTTTTAACATGCTTCAAGAATTGAGCAGTCCAAGACTCACAAGTTTTGAAAAGAGGCTTTCACATGTTTAACTAAATAACATAAGAAAATGGGTTTTCAAGGAAGACCACTACATTTACAGCTTTAAAACAACATGCTGTGAAAAAAAATAACAAAAGTTGTGCACAGAATTATGGCTCAACTGTATATATTTCATACAATTTATAAATAATAAAGGTCAAATCTTAAGCACTTCCAGATTCATGATGCATTGTGAGTCAACAACTTCAATTCAGTGTTGTGTCATGTTGTCAAACAATAAACAAACATCGCACCTCTAAAGCAACTAGAATTAAGACCTTATTGACACATGTCATAATTGAAAATTCAATTGCAGGAAGATTTATGATTTTTAAAAAAATGCTCGAGTTAAAATTAATTAATGTTATCAAAAATTATAAAATTGAACCCCGAAATTTCAATAACATGGATCAGAAAATAGAGAAATTTGAATTCACATTATTCATGAAACTGAAAGTAACATATGAATCAAAATTTAAACCAACTAACATATTTACAGTAATAACTATTTAAAAAGATCTACTCTGTCAGGCGTTAGCTCTTGACTTAATACAACTTGCACTTGGAAAAATGGTGAGGATACAAAAATAAGGCAGTATATATATATATATATCAAAATTAGGCTGTAAAACATCTAAAAGTACTAATATATTAAAATATCGATCTAATTCCAAAAAAACCAGAATTTCAGAATTGTCATGTTTTCAATTGTAAGAAGCTCTATGATTCTGTTTTCTATAACTAAGATTCCTTGTAAGTATTAAATGTATAGAATTACAGCTCAAAGCAGTACTATATATGTGGGATTCATAATTACGGCGTGTTCGATCGTGCTTAAAATCCAATTAAAATTGAAAATATAGTCGTTATTGGGTGTCACTCATCTAATAAAAGTCAACAGCTAATTTTTCAATTTGAATATCTACCTAACAAGCCCTTAATAAACTGTAACAGTAAAATTTGTGTTGGAGCGGGAAATGGAAAAGGTCAAATTCAAATTAATCACAAAGGTAATAAACGAATCATTTAAAAATGTCTACTTTATGTAAGCTCTCCACTTACAACAATTCGCACCAGGGAAAAATCGTGGGGACGCAAAACTCAAGACAGTAAAAAATCCAAAAAATGTATTCAGAAGAACAAATACACTAAAAAACATCTAACAATACTAAAAAATAAAAGATATCAATCAAATTTCAAAATAAACACAATTTATCAGAAATCTTACTTCTTGAAGAACCTTATTTCGATGAGATTTATCTACGCTCTTTATAGCAAAATACTCTATCGTCTTCTTCTTTCTCCCTTTATACACAGTCTGCCACAACATTAACTCACGCAATTACTCACCCATAAATACACAGACAATTGAATTCATACATTAATTGGCTTAACATGAGCTCGATGAGAATTACCGAGCACTTTCCTTTGCCGATGGCCTCGTAAATGTGATAGTGGTTCATCGATAGGGCTTCTGCAAAACTGAAAATTCAAATATATAACTTCTGTACGCGCGAGAGATGGAAAAAGTAAAAGTTCTGGAAATAATAGTGAGAGGTTTATTTGTTGCGAAGAGATGGATTGGAATGGAATCAGGGTTTCACTGTACCGATTTGATTGTGGATAGTGTGTGTGAGAGAGAGAGTGTGTGAGGAGTGGTGGGCGGGAACGAGAGCAAATTGAAAATCAATTTGGGGGAGAGATGATAATTCACAACTACAAAAGTCAACCCCGCTCTCGATTGTAAGCCTATGGGTATGTTCGGTGCTATTATTATTTCAAAGAAAAAAGAGTTTTCAATTGTTTTTTTTTTTTTTTTGAGATTGTATAGTTAAAAAGTATTTTAAAAAAATGAATTTACATGCCAAATAAAATTGGAGATTGTATAGTTAAAAAGTATTTAAAAAATTGAATTTACATGTAAAATATTTTATTTTGCAAATTTAATTGAAAATGATCATGTAACAAAAAGGGTTCTAAAACGGTGGCACCAAACATTTTTTTTTATAGGTAATCACGTAATTTTATAAATTAAAATCAAAAGATAATACATAAGTGCATTATCAATTTAAACAAGATAGAAACGTTAAAAAATTCGACAACCCTTCTATCGGACTAATGGTTACAGTTTTAAACCAACTATACATAGTCAAATAAAACAATTCCCTAAATTGCTCTGTCATCCGTATTTGATCTTCAAAGCATCTTTCGTTACGTTCTCTCTACACACACCAAATGATGCATCCTGGAATGAGATCACAAACGAGCTTGCTATTCTTATCTCGAAACATTATCTTACATGCCCACATCACCTCCTTGATACGCCTTGATAACACACAACTCATATGTTGCGAATCCAGAATATCATTTCACATCCAACGAACACTGTCACAATGAATGAACAAATGATCGATCGTCTCGTCATCCCTCTTACACATATAGCACTACTCCGTAATACAATAGCCTTTTCTTCGAAAATTATCTGTCGTTAACGTATGTCCCCTCACCGCCGTCCACAGCAAAAAAGCCGCCCTTGGAGGTAATTTACTTTGTCAGACTCTTTGACAGGGGAATGAACTCTTAACAGGTTCCCATAAAGATATGAAATAAGTACGAACTGAAAACAAACCAATCTGTGCCACCCTCCAACTCTACGGTCATCCTCTCCTACCTGAATGTGCACATCATACAGAGATGCCAAAAACAATGCATAGTCATCCAATTCTCAATCATATAGGCCCCTCCTGAAAGCAATGTTCCAACTAGAATTCTCATTAGATATAGCCATAGCATCACTCACCATAGCTGAAGGCTCCAAGGCGATGCGATGTAAAGAAGGAAACCGCACTTTTAATGTTTTATCTCCACACCAACAATCGTCCCAAAATTTGGCATTCGTCCCGTTCCCCACCACAAAAGTTAATTTATTTTGTAAATTGCTCCATCCTTTCCTGATATACTTCTACAAGCTCATCCCATAAGAACCACGACCCTCACCCGAGCGCCACCCCCCCTCTACGACACCATACTTCACCCCAATAATTTCTCTCCAGAAGCTCTCCCTCTCCATTCCAAATCGCCACAACCACTTGCCCGACAATGCCTTGTTAAATAAAATAAGGTTCTTCAATCCAAGACCCCCAACCCTAATAGGAGAACAAACATCACCCCATTTGACCAAATGAAACTTCCCCTCTTCCCCCAACTTTGCCCAAAGAAAATCCCCGTGCATTTTCTCCAAACTATTTGCCACTGCAACGGGAATAGGAAACAAAGATAGAAAATAGGTTGGAAGATTAGAAAACGTGAATTTGATGAGAGTAAGACGACCTCCTTTCGACAAAAAAATACGCTTCCACCCCGCTAACCTCATCCCCACACTTTCAAGAATATCATTCCAAATATGTTTACTTTTAAACCTCATACCTAACGGAAGCCCAAGATATGACATGGGCAATTGTAAGACTCTGCATTCTAGTATAGCCGCTAATTCCTTCACATTAACAATCTCCCCCACTGGAATAGCCATAAATTTCCCCAAATTTGTACTCAAACCGGAAACCTCTTCAAAACTTAGAAGCAAGCGATGCAAATTCCTAATTTGCATATCGTCTGCATCACAAAAGATCAGTGTGTCGTCTACAAATAACAAATGTGAGACTTGTAGATGACCAATGGCAAAACCTCTTAACAAACCCTCCGTCACAGCTTTTTCAATCATTCTACTAAATGCCTCCATCACAATAACAGACAACAAGGGGGACAACAGATCAACTTGCCTCAAACCTCTACTACTCCGGAAGTAACTTTCATGGTTGCCATTAACTAAAATTGAAAACGAAACCGTAGCGATACAGAACGGAATCCACTTACACCACCTATCCCAGAAGCCGCATCGCCTGAGCATATACATAATAAATCCCCAGTTGACGTGGTCATATGTCTTTTGAATATCAAGCTTACACAACATCCCTGGGACACACCTGACGTATTCTTGAGTCAATGGATTCGTTCGCTAGAAGAACTGAATCCAAAATCCGACGTCCCTTTACAAAAACATTCTGGAATTTGGACACCACTTTTCCCAGAACCTCCTTTAATCTATTCACCAACACTTTAGCAATAATCTTATAAACCCCACTAACCAAGCTAATAGGACGGTAGTCCTTAATATTAGTCACTCTCGATTTCTTAGGAATAAGCACAGTGAATGTGGCATTAAGACTTATCATAAACTTGTCACGTTAGAAAAAATAATTGATTGTATTCATAATGTCTGATCTAACCACCTCACAACAAGCCTTATAGAATGAGAACGAGAACCCGTTCGGTCCAGGGGCCTTATCATCATTTATATTAAACACCACTTCCCTAACTTCATCCCCCTCAAATGGTCTCTCAACCCAACTAGCATCCTCTTCGGTGATAGTGAAGAAGTCTAGCCCCTCCAGCTCAGGCCTCCACACAAACTGCTCCAGATAGAAATTCT